ATTTCTGAGGTGCTTTAGTTTGTCTTTATATCGTGCACGGCCTTGCTGTTGTCAAGGGATTCAGGTGTGGATTTCGATACTGGAGAAGTCATATTAAACCATGGGAAATAACTCTAGGGAAATCAGGTCCCAAATCCAAAAACTCTAACAAACTTCACAATAAAACTCCACTGTGCACCAGGGTCCATCCCTGTACTGTTCAAAAGAGCCCCAAAGGAGACAGAACTCAACTGTCCACCAGTGGGCCGTGGGGAAACAGGACGAGGGCCATGTGTATGATGGAATACTGCTCAGCCTTCAAGACAGGTGAAGGCCCAGCGTGTACCACGAGGTGGGTGGAGGAGCTCCAGTGGCCGACTGCTAAGTTCGAATCCAGCAGCTGTTCCATGGGAGGAAGGTGGACAACCTCCTCCCACCTGATTGAGTGCCTTGGAGAACTCACTGGAGGGCCAGCTGTGGTTGGTTCCGGCTCGATGGCCCACAGCACCTCCAGCAGCAATGTGGGCGGCACTTGAAGAGAGACCCACCGAGATGTGTCAGACACAGAGGATGCTCACCACGTGAGACCCCTTATGGGACACGTCCACTCACTGGCTGTGAGCCTGCTCGGAAGCACAGTGACCTTCCACCAGGACTGGGAAGTTGTAAATGTTGACAAGAGGAGATTATTCATCTTCCTCTTATAGACTCAGGGGTGGGTTTGAACTGCTAACCTGTAAGATAGTAGTGCAACTTGTAACCAACTCTGCCATATGGCTGCTGTTGCTGTTGCTGTGTGCCTTCAAGCAGGAACTGACGCACAGCTGACCCTCCAGCAGGTTTTCAGAGGCTTTAGTTCACAGAAGGGGCAACTGTCTATCTTCCGAGGAACAGTTGGTGGATTTGAACTCCCTGCCTTTGGGTTTGCAGAACAACTCCTTACCCTCTAGGCCACCAGAGGCACAAGGCTTCCTTAAGTAGGCAAATGCATTGAGACAGATGTGGAAGAGGTGACAGGAAGCCTAATGGTTAAGCTGGAATTTCTCTGTGATTGGAATTTAATTTCCTCTCATGTTTCGTGATGACAAAATGTGGTGATGTCCATTCTTGTGAACACACCTTTCTCACGCTCTGTATCCCTCTAGGATAGAACTTCGAGTATCATTACTGGGTTAAACAGAAGAGCTGCATTTTACATCTGGGCAGATAATGTGCACTTGACCTTTAAAAGTTCATTTTCTGGCTGAAATGTACAATCCCAAGGAGGAGAGGATGAGAGTCCCTCTTCTGCATGTTCCTCCCCAGGTCTTGTTTGAAATCTGGCATTTCTTGCTCATCTAACCAGCAGACATGCTGGATCACTGCGGCTCCTGCCTGCCCCTTCTGAATCTTGGGGTTAAGTGTGTTTTCATATAGTTTGTGTTTCTTTTGTCGTTTCACACATAAAACAAAACATCCTGACTCTTAGCACAGGCATTAAGGAAATAACGAGGTGCTGGTGTTTGTTTTGGGATGTCAGCTCAGTTCTAAGCATTAAATCCATGCATGTTTTATGCTCTCAGGCCCATCCTGCCACACCTTGGGGAGTGTGTCTTGGGCCACAGAGGTGAAATACTGAGTGCAATTTTCAAAGGTTTCCACTGTGGAGTAATCTACACAGGAAAATAGAAACAACTCCAACAACAGACATTGAACAGACGAGGGACCATCTGCCTTTGAGGGCTTCTGGGAGTAGAAGGGGTGTGAAAGCCTTGTCCCCAGTGCCTAATGATGCAGAGACAGGCAGGTGCCAGCATAAGTCACCCAGTGATGTCCGAACGTGAGGTGAAAGCTCCGAGTCTGAGCGGCGAGGAATTCACAGCAGCAATGGAAAGTTCCTGAAACAGTCCTTGATCTCTTTACAGAAGCTGTGAAGTGCTGTGGTTATCACACATGGCTTAGCAGATGCAGGGCAGTCCACGCACCTCCGTGATGGTGGGCGGGCAGTGGTACAGCCTGTCTGCTGACCCAGCAGGACACTACCGAGGGCTCTCGTCATCCACGCAGCTCTGATGTCTGACCCACACGGAGGAGGTTGGTGGCTGGGCCCCTCCGAGCTGATGGATAGCAATCCCATTCTGTAGCACTGGAGCAAATGAGCATTTCTTGTAAATATTAATGGCATCATTTCAGGGACAAACAGCTGCCCTCCCCAGCGGTCTGGAGGGAGGCGGCCTCCCAGGCTCCCGGAGGAGTTCTGCTAGATGAACCAAGGGTGAGGTTAAGTATACATAATCCTCACCTGGGACAGAAGGCATGAGTAAGAGCTGTGACAGTTTGTAGCTAAACACGAGATGCATTCTGACTGTGGATGGAGGGCTCTGATGGCCAGAGGGGGCCTAAGTCCTGTCCTTCTGTGCAGAGGAAGTGGACACACTTAGAGGAGGTGGGCTGATTGTGAAAATCCTGTCAAAATATCAAAGTACCCATGGATCCAGGCTCTCCCGGACAAGAGCCTGGTTATAATCTTGGTGTGTTTTCACGGTTTTCTTTATGCATGTGTGCACAGTGTGTGTGTGACTGTGCATGCGTGTCTGTGTGTACATGCTTGAATATGCAGGTAGCTGTGCTGTGTGTGAACTGGGGTGACCATTGTGAACATTTGCCCATCCCCTGTTCAGGACTGAAGAGTTTTCCTGAAGACAAGTACTCGAGTCCTAACCCTGTACCCGGGAACTTCACTTTCTTTGGAATAGTCTTTGAAGATGAGAACAGCTACCATGAGAAGATACAGGGGCAGATTCCTTCAGAGAAGTGTCTGTGAGACAGGAGGAGAGGAGGGAGGAAGGTGCCACGTGGAGATGGAGCTGAGCTGGAACGCTGCAGCCAGGGGCCTTGGGGCCAGGACTCGAGTGACCTGGTGGCACTTTGTCAGGACACCCTGGAAACAGTGCATGTGATGCTCAAGGGAGGACTTTTACACACCTGGACCACTAAGGGGAGGTGCACACATGCCACAAAATGGAAAAAAGAATGAATACAAGCGCTGTCCAAGGGGCAGGAAGGATGTCCACTCTGTTGGCATTGACTGTGCAGATTCTTCAGGGGCTGACGGACTAGACCCAGCACGACGTAGGATGAGGTCACAGCACCAGCCTACCAAGAAGGCCTTCCTGGACACAGAAGTGCTGGGTGGCTGCAAATGAAGGTCCTCTATATGTAGCCTTCCACCATCTGCCGCCATCACAACTCACGCTCTCTTCCCCTCAGCATCTGTCTACCTGTTCTGTCTGTCTCCAGCTCTGGTCTCACTCACACTCTCTCCTTCATCCTCGGCCTCTCTCACCCTCTGTCTCCCTCACACCTGCTTCCTTCACACTGCATGTCTCCCATACAACCTACGACTCCCTCATGCAGTTTATCTCCATCATACACTCTGTCTCACATCATTTGACTCCCTCATACTGTCTGTCGCCCTCACAGTCTGTTTTTCTCATAGCGTCTCCCTTTCTGCCTCCCTCACCCTCTGTCTCCCTCACACCCTCTGTCTCCCTCATACCCTCTGTCTCCCTCACACCCTCTGTCTCCCTCACACCCTCTGTCTCCCTCACCCCCTGTCTCCCTCACCCTCTGTCTCCCTCACACCCTCTGTCTCCCTCACACCCTCTGTCTCCCTCACCCTCTGTCTCCCTCACCCCCTGTCTCCCTCACCCCCTGTCTCCCTCACCCTCTGTCTCCCTCACACCCTCTGTCTCCCTCACACCCTGTCTCCCTCACACGCTCTGTCTCCCTCACCCTCTGTCTCCCTCATTCTTTCTCTCTCTCATTCTCTTTCTCTCCCTCCTCCTCCTCCTCCTTCTTCTTCTTTCTCTCTCTCTCTCCCCTTTACATTCTCAGCCCTAATCTGTAAGTTCCTACTGCAATGACTATCTCAACAGCTGGCACCCAGAGAAAGTGATGGAGAAAATGCTCCTATCTGTAAACGATGCCAGGTGAAGAGGTCTTCACGTGCTCATGGGAGTATGAATGGGCTACTTACTTTAGCTGCTTTTTAGGAGGTGCACTGATGGTTTATAGGAAACTGTAGCTAAACTATGCCACACGGAGAAAGAGGAGTGAGATGGTGCTTCTGTGGGTGTGAAGGAGCTGCATCCAATGTGCGGCCACCATGCCACATGGGCTGAGTGCATGACCCACACTGGGCCAGGGCTACCCCAGGCCCCGCACCTCACACACTGGGCCTGCCAGCCTGCAGAACTTATCGGGACTGAAGGGTTTCCAGATGGAAATGTGCAGTGACAGCATGCTCTGAACCGGCCAATCAGAGGTGGCATTTCAGCATCACTGGGGGTGCAGCCAGTGAACACCCTCGGACACTAACCAGAAGTGCTGGAAGTCAGAGTTCACGCAGCGACGCCTTGGAGGCGAGGCCTGGAGAAGTGCTGACAAAGCAGCCACTAAGTACTTACCAAGGGATTGCTGTAGCCAGAGTGTTTGAGCTTGCAGGCTGGGGAGCCAGGTGAAGGGGCAGTGGCCTACAGCAGGAGGGCTTCTGGGGCAAAGAAGGTGCCCAGTGCCCGGGTGAGGTGACTGACTCACTGTGGTCACAGGGTCACCCAGTGTACGCCCCACACCATGGCGGTGTGGCCAGCTTGTGGGGTCTGGGCCTGTTTCTTCCCACACTGAGAGCTTCTCCCACTGAATAAACATCAACAGTTACTCAGTGATTTAGACAGCTTCCTACCTACAATGAGAGAAGTGAGTCAATCACCTGACCCTGGTGATAATGCACACCTGTGTACAGGGGAGGAGCCTCTGTTCATCGAGGACACTCACCTGGGTGAGGGAGAAGCTCACCTGGGTGAGGGAGAAGCTCCCCTGGGGGTGAATGGAACTCACCCGGGTGAGGTGGAAGCTCCCCTGGGTGTAACCAGAGCTTCTGTGGGTGTGACTAGAGCTTCCCTGGGTGTGAACGGAGCTCCCCTGGGTAGGGGAGAGCTCACCTGCCCACGGAACATGCTTAGGGGCAGAGCTCTGCTCACCTCTGTTGCAGAAGGTGCCGTCGTAGGCCGTGTGGGCGCAGTCACAAGAGTAGCCGTGGTACTTCTCCACGCATCGACCACCGTGCTCGCAGTTGGCCCCATAGCTGGTGCAGTGGCCGGAACATCCCGACACAAAGCCAGAGGTGACCTTGGCCCTCTCTTCCAGGTCCAGTGTCACCCCGTTCATGCGCAGTGAGCGGATGCAGCCCAGGAAGCCCTGCTGGCCGCCGGCAGCACCTGGGGGTGAGAGAGGAGGTGGTCAGTGGTCAGCCTACTTCACTCCCAGGCAGCAGGGCCAGTGGGGGTTCAGGCTGCTAGGAGTCTGCACCCTGCCTTCACGCCAGCTGAGGAGAGCTGACCACTGCCCCTTGGCTGTACAGGTGAATGAAGAAGGCAGCAGATTGCTGCAGAAACATGTCTGGGAGACAGCGTGCCATCTCAGCTGCTGAAAAGAAGTTTATGAAACTGCTAGCTTCTTTGCTCTAATCCAGGGTGCTGCATTCCACAGAATTATCTCCAGAAAGACACGCACAAAGGCAGAGGGCGTGCATGTATTAGCAGAGTTAACAAGTCAATTAGTCCAAAGCAGAAATCCATTTGAAGGGCGCTGCCAACCTGGACAGTTCGGGCCTGGTGTATGGGGTGGGCACCGGAGGAACTCATAGTTTCAGTCAAGCCAGCCACTCCGCACTTTCAACAGACCGGGTGAAAGGGGCTTCTGTGAGGTTATTAGGGACACAGCACACAAAGGCACAATCACTGGGACTTTCTGAAAGTAAGACAGAGTCAGACCAAGGTCCATGAGCACAGAAATACTAAACATTCCTGACGCGGTTCAGAGACAGGCTCACTGGAGCCCTCCATGAGGAGCATGGTGTTAATTATGTTGGTGCTAACTCTTGCTAAAGCACTTTAAACAGCTGGTACAAAGAGAGAAATTCCAAGTGATACATGAGTCTGTAAAGAAAAGAACAACGTACAGTGCAGGAGAGGAAGACGCTGGCTGAGACGGATTGACACTGTAACTGGGGTAACGGGGGTAGGTGTGTCTGAGACAGTGAATGTGACGCAGGATAGAGCAGGGTTCAGAGCTGTGGAGCACAGGGTTGCTATGGTCACAGAAGACTTGATGGCACAAGACAAGCACAACAACTTGCAAATGAAAATGAATAGTAATTAAAACCATTAAAAAACTATCTGATAAAAATTTAGGGGAAAAAGATTGTTAAGAAAAAAAAGAAAACCCAAGTAATATAACCTATCATATGCAGGTGACACAAATTTGCTCTCTGAAAATGAAGAGGACTTGGAGCACTAATTGATGAAGATCAAATAATACAGCCTTCAGTATGGATTGCATCTCACACAAAGGAAACAAAACCCTAACACTGGCCAGAAACACTGTCAAGACAGAGAAAGCATTGACATTGTCAAAGATTTTGTTTCTTAGATCCACAAGAAATGTCCATGGAAGCAGCAGTGAAGACCCCAAGTGCACTGGGAAAATCTGCTGCAAAGGATTCTGCAAAGGATTAAAGAGCAAAGGGGTCACTTTGAGGGATAAGACACAGCTAACTGGAGAAGTGGTGCTTTTAAACTGCCTCCTTAGCTTGTGAAAGTGGGACAATGAATCAAGAAGACCAAAGAATGGTATTTGAATTGTTTTGGAGAAGATAGTGAATATGTCATGGACTAAAGAACAAAGCAGCCTGTTTTGGAAGCAATGCAGCCAGCACACACCTTTGGAGCAAGGATGGTGAGACTTCAACTCACATACTCTGGGCCTGCTGTGAGGAAGGATGGGTCACGGAGGAAGGACGTCAAGCTTGGAACAGTAGAGAATCATCAAAAAGGAGGACTCTAAGGGGATGGATTGAGTGACTGCAATGGTGGCTCCAGGACAGTAATGTTTAAATGTTTAGGAGGCTGAGGCAGGACGGGCAGTGCTGCTTCCATGAAGCCACTATGAATCAGGACTGACCTGATGGCATATTGCAGGAACAGCACCAATAGAAGTCCTGCATTAGGGCTTCCTGTAAGACGCATGTGATTGACAGACCTCACAGTGACTCACAGGAGGGTGACTGTTATACCCACACTGCGTGATACTACGCTTGGTCTTAAGCAAAAGGCCAAGGAAAACGAGGCATAGCGAGGTCTGTCCTTTTCTGGTACATGGTATTTCTTTTTTACACATGAAAATTTCTGACATTTATATTGCCACAGATATATGTTTTATTCGTATGATTTCTGCCTTTGAGATTGTGCTTATAAAGCTCTCCGTTCATGCAAAACAATGTAATTATTCAATGATATTTTCTTCTTGCACTTTTATAGTTCCATTTCTATCAATATTCTTAACCTTAATCTATCTTGAGTGAGTTCTAACTTGGAAATAATCCACATTTCATGGATCCTCCTTCGTGGTTGAGAATCATATTTTTATTATATCATTAAGGCAAACATTTAGATGCCCATAAACCCAACCAAGTCCACTGTTGACTCTGAAGCACTGCGATTCTCCTTTGGTTTCAGAGATGGAATCTTCACAGGGAGACTACCATCTTCCTATGGAGCCACAACCCATTCTGTCCCCAGGCTGTTCGCCCCCAGGCTGTCCGTCCCCAGGCTGTCCGTCCCCAGGCTCTCTATCCCCACACTCTCCATCCCCAGGCTGTCTGTGCCACTTAGCCTCAAAGGGCACCAACTTCTTCACAGAAGAAAGGCCGTCTCCCACAAAACCTGATGGGGTGGAGCCAACTCTAGGGCAGTGAGCCTGGACTGAGCTTTTGACCTCCTGATGGGGTTGATGGGAGCAGCTTTTCCTGTCTTCCTGCCTCTCAGCCTTTGCTTTTCTCTGGTCTTGGTCTGTCCTGTTCGACATGTCTGACTCCCTTCCTGCCTCTGTGTGTTACCTGTGTGGCTTCCATTACACCTTCACCTCCTCTATCACCCCCTGCTCACCTATGTTTGGGAAGCTGCGCTGAGGGCGCCTCTGTTCCTGCCAGCTCTGAAGTACACACCCCCACCCCGTCTGTCCTCCTCTCTGTGTATCAGTGAGGAAAATGCCAGTTGCCATGAAGCCAAGTCAGAGCCACGGCCGCCCCCGGGTGACAGAGTACCATTGTACTCTAGAATGTCCAGGGGCTGGTTTTTCTGAACTAGATGACCATGTGTCTTTCAACATGGCTTTTGGTGGACTTTTTGAGCATTTCTCATGAATACCGCCCAGGGATTCCAAACAGTAATTATCTCTCTGTTCACTCCTCTCTTCCTCTTCTCACCCTCCCCCTGCCCTAATTGGCCACCAGCAGAAGACTGCAGTCTATACTGTATCTGTATCTGTTATGTATCAGAAGGCGAGTGGACCACCACCTCTGTCTCTGTGGCAGGAATGCACAGACCCACTATTTCCTTGTGAAAGTGCCCTTTATTTATGCACATGGGCCAGTGAATAGTTGTAAAGCTCCATGAATTAGTGACATAAAGAAAAGCTTTGTCCAGAGGATGGGCCACAAATGAGTAGAAGATGCTAATATACCAGGACCAGTGGGATTAGTTGAAGTTCAACATATGTGCTCTGTGGAAGTGTGTTTCTTGAAGACAGATGTCCTAAGTTTAAATCATAAGTCCTCAACCCAAGATACTACTTAACCTTCACTAATTAGAAAATCAACACATTGTCTTTGGAGTCAGCCCCCACCACACGAGGGCTTCATGCATATTAGTCAGACCAGTAATCATCCAAGGTGAGACCTACATTTACTTTGTAAACCATTTTTTCCATGTGAAAAACTATTAAAATATGGCAATTAAAGATCAATTATGGAACTACAGTTACCATCCTTAATGAATAACATCACCAAGAAAGGCTCCGTGGATTATGGCCACATAGTCAGCCATCAGACTCAACGAAAAAGACAGATGATACAAAAAATTACCTAAAAGACGCTGTCCTCTCCATCCTGGTTGACATCTCAGTTTAGAAGGAGCTGAGCACCTGTCTTCTCCAAACTCAAATTCCTGGAACCTGGTTTATTTCTTCAGTAAATACTGGCCTCATGTCTGTGCTCAGGAGTCACTTTGAAACACAACTCAAAAGCCTCTGTTCTCACTGAGGAAGCCAGAAATTCAACAGTGAACTCAGTGAGCACCAGGGCTTGAACTGTGGGCTCATGGCATTTTGCTCCTGCACCTGGGGAGGTGAGCCTGTTAGAAGCAGAGCTGCCTCTGTTGTGTTCATGATGGCAGCTCAGAGCAGGTGGGTCCTAAGCCTAATCTCTTCTGAGTGGGGTTTTCTAAGAAGTGTAGAAGAGACATGGACACACACTGGGAGACAAGTGCTGTTGGTGATGCCATCACAGTAGCTAAGGGGAGTGGCAGACACCAGGGAGACCGGTTCCTGAACTCAAACTCACAGCCTCAGAACTGTGAGAATACATTCCTGCTCTCTAAAGTCTCACTTTGTGGCATTTTTGGTACCAACTGCCTTGGAAAAATAAGTCATAAGTGAAGTATGTTGAGCGTTAGGAGGAAACAGATGTCAAGCCCATCCAGGGGGTCAGGAGTAGGGTGGGAGGCTATCTGCTAGAGGGGCCATCGAGGGTGGGCTGTTGGAAAAGTGACAGTGTCCATGAGCTTGTCTGTGCAGAGTGTGGCTAGGACAGAGGAGGAGGATGCTGCCCCCACGTGAGAAAGAGGCCCTGAGGGTCAGTGCAAGTGTAGAAGAGTGAAGTGTCCAAGGGAGCGGCTGGGCGGGCCCTGGGGAAGGCACTCCTGCTTAAAACAGAGGGAGCAGACAGGCTGGACTTCAGATGGACACAGTGCAATCACAAGTATCCTTGTGACAGCTGTCACCGCTCTGCCAAACCCGCCTGGTCTCAGCATTGTCGTTGTGACGGAGTCCCTGTGTCAGTCCATCTCCTGGACAGTCCGCCTCTTTTCTCAGACCTCTTCACCAAGCTCAGTGTCCTCCAGAATGGCTGCCTTCTGAGAACATGTCCAGTACGTGTGAGGCGAAGCTGCTGCGTCCTTCCTCCTGAGGACATTCTGGCTGTTGGTCCTACGATGCAGATCCGCTGATTCTTCTGTCAGTTCATGGTATATGCAGTATTATTCACTGACACCACGAGACCATGATTCACAGGCAGAAGGTGCCTTTGGTCTTTCTTATTGTCTAGCTAGCACACGCACATGACACAAGTGAAAAGACCTTGCTTCAAGTGCATTTTCAGCCT